TAGATTAATGGAAAGAGTTTTTAAAAAGCAGCTTGGTTTTACTGGGGTAGATCATGTGATTAAATGTTTTGACTAGATTACTACTACTTTGGATTGGAAAAATTGCAATTTAATACATTTTTGTTTTTTGGATTTAATACTGCTTTAATCTATGCTATGTATCTAAAAATATAGAAAAGACTAAAAGATTCTAGAAGGATTTATTTGCACCACAAATCAATACATACAAGAAGGGAAAACCAGTCACTTAACTGCATACTAACATGTATAGGTAAAATTGATCCAGGGAATATCCGATTGCCTCTCGGGGGATCAGGAAGGAATCTTTTTCCCTGCAGGAGCAAATTGAATCATGCTTTGCTGGGTTTTTTGCCTTCCTCTGGATCAACTGTGGGTATAGGATTATAACTTTTTTTTTTTTCTGTGATTGAACTGGATGGACTTTTGTCTTTTTTCAGCCAGACTTAGGCTCAGTTCACACTAGCTTTGTCAGCAGCCGTCAGACAGGTGTTTTTTCTCAACGCTTCTCAAACACCTATGGAAATTCTACACATGGCAGCACACAGTGCTGTTCACACTGAAGCGTTAGCATTGCGGCAGAACTGGCATCTCGTGTCCAGTCAGGAGGAGTTGAAGCCTCCCATTTAAGTCTATGGTGCAGCTCCGCAAATGCCTGGCAGGCGTTTGTGGTGCAGTTGTGGCGCGGTTGCGAGGCGGTTGCGGAGCATTAATACCATTTAATTTCATTATAGGTATTTGTGGTGCAGTTTTAAATACTTGGCAAACACCTATCAACCACCTCAACCGCGCATAGAGCGTTTGGGGAGCAATTGAGGAGCGTTAAAAATGCTTCCCAAACGCCTGTCTAATGCCTGTCAAACGCTACAGGGGCGTTTGGCAAGAGTTAGAAATAAAGTCAAGTGTGAACGAGCTCTAACTATGTAACGTAGCTGTGCAGTTGTAGGGCGATATAAATGTGCGGTTGAGCTGTGCTTTTAGTGCCCGCCCCCCACCCCCCTTAAAGGACACTGACAGAAGCATAGGCAGGACAGAACACACAAAGAAAATGGTAAACACACAAAGCTTTATTGAACTATGGAAGGAACTCAATCGGGGCAGCTCTTGGCACTCCGCAACATGCGGCTTGTAGGGACACTCACGGTAAGGGGGATCATGGGGACTCAACGGGACCTTGGCTATGGGGTCTGACCTCAGCACAACCCCCACACAGCTTTCTAGGGACAACATCAGGCTCACGGGGACTCAGTGGGACCTTGGCTATGGTGTCTGACCTCAGCACAGCTCCCACACAGCTTTCTAGGGACAACATCAGGCTCACGGGGACTCAGCTGGACCTTGACTATGGGGTTTGACCTCAGCACAGCTCCCACACAGCTTTCTAGGGACAACATCAGGCTCACGGGGACTCAGCGGGATCTTGGCTATGGGGTCTGACCTCAGCACAACCCCCACACAGCTTTCTAGGGACAACATCAGGCTCACGGGGACTCAGCGGGATCTTGGCTATGGGGTCTGACCTCAGCACAACCCCCACACAGCTTTCTAGGGACAACATCAGGCTCACGGGGACTCAGCGGGACCTTGGCTATGGGGTCTGACCTCAGCACAGCTCCCACACAGCTTTCTAGGGACAACATCAGGCTCACGGGGACTCAGCGGGACCTTGGCTATGGGGTCTGACCTCAGCACAACCCCCACACAGCTTTCTAGGGACAACATCAGGCTCACGGGGACTCAGCGGGACCTTGGCTATGGGGTCTAGTTCGGGTAGCGATGGCTCACCACTTGATATTGCTGACCTTCCCGAGTCAAGCCTGCACGCTTTTTTCACGCATATTAAGACTGTGTGTTTTATCTTATATTGGTGCAATCATATCAGCACCGTGTTTATCTGAATGCCTAATATTCATTTTTGTTTGATTTGTGTGATATGTTTTGTCATTTTTTAGCACTGCACCTGTTCATTTATATTTAAAAAGGAAAGTTGCCCTATATATACAATTGGGTACTATTTTTCATCCAATAATCACACAACTTTCACCAGGGAATGACACATTTTTCCAGCTGAATCCAATTAGAAAAATGTGTGAATCGTAAGTTACATTTGTGTGAATCTTGTGTCAAAACTTTTCTAATTGCAACCCTTTAAATTGTATTTCTTTTTTTTTTTTTTTTTTTATTATTTATCTCTGGTACTTATATAGTGCCGTCAATTTACGCAGCGCTTTACATAAATATTCTACATTCACATCAGTCCCTAACCCTCAAGGGGTGTACAATCTAAGGTCCCTAACTCACAAGCATACATACACATACTAGGGCCAATTTAGACAGGAGCCAATTAACCTACGAGCATGTCTTTGGAGTGTGGGAGGAAACCGGAGTACCCGGAGGAAACCCACGCAGGCACAGGGAGAACATGCAAACTCCAGGCAGGTGGTGCCGTGGTTGGGATTCGAACCAATGACCCTAGTACTGCCAGGTGGAAGTGATAACCATTAGCCACTGTGCCGCCCATAAAGTAGGACTGCGTTTTTCCGATGCTAGAAACCCATAAAAAATGCAGACGGGTACGAATGAGCCATTTTAATAAAATTACTTTGGGAACAGTTTTCTTTCTGAGAAGCTAATGAGCACAAAGCGGTTGCCAGCGATAGTCCAGGTGCTGAATGCTGTCTCTGGTAAACAAATGCGTAGGCTAATAAGGATTGAATAAACGTTTATCAGCGGCAGGGATCTGCTGGTCTCTGAAGACGTCCATTTCTTTTATTATTGGAGTTTCAATTATTGTAGAAGAAACTGGAGACTAAAAACAGTTTGGAGGTTTTATGGAACACTGATGGAAAAACAAGCAACGTGCTAAGTTAAGGTAGATGTAGATGTGCGTCTAAATCTACGTCTCTTCTAAACCGTGCGTCTGCATTCAGATTGCTTTTCAGAGGAGAATGACCATTTTAACCCCATTTTTGCCGGCTAATGTGATGCAAGTGCAGCAATTCCCTGTTCCCTTGAATGTGTCTTGTATGGTGGGAATGTTGGGTAGTTTTTTGTCGCGGGCAAGAAGCATTGTGACCACGGCCTGTAAATGCCCCCATCTGCTGCCTATTGCAACTTAACCACTTCCAGACCGGACACTCTTTACCCCCTTCCTGATCAGGGCAAATTTCAGCTTTCAGTGCTATCACACTTTGAATGACAATTGCGCAGTCATGCAACACTGTACCCAAATGAATTTTTTACCATTTTTTTGAGACAGATAAAGCTTTATTTTGGTGGTATTTATTCACTGCTGGGATTTTTATTTTTTTTTGCTATGTAAATGAAAAAGTCCAAAAATTTTGAAAAAAAGTTTTTTTTTTTTATAAAATTTGCAAATAAATAATATTTCATCATAAATCTTTGCCAAAATTTATTCCATTATCTTTTTAGTTAAAAAAAAAATCCAAATTAGTTTATAACCAAAAATTATAATTTTTAAACATTTTTTTTACATTTTTATATTTTTTTTTTTACCATGGTGACACTGTACTACTTGTGGGGGGTGATGAAGATTTTTTTTTTTTTTTTTTTTTTTTTTGCACTGATTGCTTTTACACCCATAAAGGATGTAAAAGCAATCATTTCTCTTTCTCTCCGTGTGCATTCTTGCACTCATTGAGAAGTACTGAGTGAGCTGTGATTGGTCACAGCTTGTCACATGGTACAAGGCTGTTGTGAATAGCCTTGTACCATGTGACCTCTGTGATCATTCACAGATTTCACACGTAGTAAGCAATGATGTCACAAGTGACATCTTGCTTACTACTTTGCATGTGATCACTGATTGGCCAATCAGTGATCACATGATCAGGACCTCGTACAGAGGTCCCGTCCGACGATCTGTGTTTCACTGTGTCGGGAGGACACAGCAGGTACCGGATCGCGGTGCTGCGCACTCCCCGGGAGCGCGCACAAGCAGGGTGCAGGGAGGCTGTTTATAAACGCCACCCGACCCTGCAGTGCCACCGTCCGGCCGTTTATATGCAACGGCCGGTCGGGAAGTGGTTAAAGGATAAGTTCACCTTTGTAACATGTTACGTATTACACTCGTATTTAGCATGTAACATTTTACAATACAGCACCTGCCCACACTCTCCTCTGATGATAGCGGGGGACAATGCTTTACAGGATGCAGTAAAAAAATAATACATGCACTTTTTTACCAGCATTTTTTATTATTTATTTTTTTATAAAAGGTGAACGTATCTGTCACGGTGTGGCTGCTGTCCCTGCTCGCTTCCCCCTCGCCGCACCCTCTCATCCTGCACCAAGCCTTTGAAGCAGGTTGTGTGGGATGGCGGGAGGGGACCCCTGCAGCGAGGATCACGGCCCCCGGGCAATCTAGCCAGAGGAGCTGTGACCCCCCCAGCCAGGAGACCCCGGCGGGGGGCCGCCGGGAGGTCTCTGCGCGCCCCCAGCGGAAGCAGCGCGGGCACAGGGCTTCCCGCGCTCTGCTCCCACCAGTGACAAAAGCCGCCTATATGGCTCCAATCGCACCGCACACAAATGGCATGCACTTGCACAGGAATGTGGTGCGGTTTCTGTGCGAATCACATGCAATATACCGCACCGTATATACAGTATGTGAACCCAGGCTGAAGCTATTCTGGCGATGCCACTGGTCCTTTTTTTGACAGCAATGGTGGGTAGTCTGTCTTTCTAGATTCTAGAGCCACTCAGTTTAGGATACTGTGAGCCAAGACCGTATGATGATGCCCCCCAACCCTACTTTAGGGGTACAGTCCATAACAGCCTGGGCTCACAGGAGATAGGTTGGAGTGTTTTGGTTTTTTGTTTTTTTAACAGATGCAAGTTAGCATTTTTTGTTATAAAAAAGGAAATCGTGGAGTTTGATTTAAAGCACCTCTGTTTAGTACTACAGAGCTAGTTAATACTAAGTAAATGAATTCAAATGAGCAAATAAACTGGCTTATATATACCTTTGCTTGTTCTCTTGGCTCTGTGTTCTGCAGGTATCGCTCTGCCATGGAGCATCTTTCATCCTCTCTGGCTGCTCATCTAGTATTTTCCGTCCTCCAATACTGCACTTCACTGGCTCCTCCTCGTCTTCTAGTAAAGGCAGACTGCATCTGGCTTTGTATGTGGATTCTTCTGGACAATCTATTGCCTACAAGATGTATTACACAACTGATTAGGTCACACAGACAAGCCAACTTATTGTTCACACATATCTAGAAAAGTTGCAGCTTTAGCAGTTTAGCCGGACGTGGGCATCAAAACAGAGTGCTCTGCACATGTTCACATGAATCCCCTGGGCAGGTCCAACAGGTATCCATTGTCAGGGATGCTACCTTTATTTTTACATATCTGTTGAATCTGCATCTTCAACCCCATCCAGTTATAGGTGTCCATAATGCGACTTAGTAACCGGTTTATGGGTGATGGATGCCTGGGTCAACTTGGGTGTCAGTACGACTTGGCTAAATTGATTAGAACATTAAGACTTTTCTGTCCCCTATGTGATGAAAAAAAAAAAAAAAAAGTTACACCCAAGCACATAGAATCCCCCCTCCCCTCAAAAATTGAGGCCCACCCCCACAAATACGCAACAGGAGCGCTTACGCATAAAAACATTTATTGCGATGTTACACATGCTACATATCGGCACACACACCGGAGAACAACAATATTTTTAGCACCAGATCTCCTCCATAATGCCAAACTGATGACCTATAGGGGCCTTTAGAGCTTCACCTATGGAAAACAGAGTACAGAAGTCTGTCTCACAGGCACAAGCAAATTTAAGGTTAGACATGTTGGGTATCCATTTACTGTGCAACCTAATCTTTTATATTTTACCCAAAAAAATGGGTAATTTATTGCATCTGTGTGCCATAAAATTCACTTTAGTGTATTTTTTCCTGAAATTTTGCAGTAATATCGTGTGATATAAAAAAAAAATTGGAAAAAAAAAAATGTTGAGGTGGGTAGTAGGAACTACACGCCTCCATCATGCCTTAGAGCAGGGGTCTCCAAACTTTAGAAACAAAGGGCTAGTTTATTGCCCTTAAAACTTTAAGGGGGCAAACTTTTTTGTGGTTGTTGGAGGCCAGTCGAGGAGGAACAGCGCCCCGTCGTTGAGGGGACAGTGGGAGGAACAGCGCCCCGTCGTTGAGGGGACAGTGGGAGGAACAGCGCCCCGTCGTTGAGGGGACAGTCGGAGGAACAGCGCCCCGTCGTTGAGGGGCCAGTCGGAGGAACAGCGCCCCGTCGTTGAGGGGCCAGTCGGAGGAACAGCGCCCCGTCGTTGAGGGGCCAGTCGGAGGAACAGCGCCCCGTCGTTGAGGGGCCAGTCGGAGGAACAGCGCCCCGTCGTTGAGGGGCCAGTCGGAGGAACAGCGCCCCGTCGTTGAGGGGCCAGTCGGAGGAACAGCGCCCCGTCGTTGAGGGGCCAGTCGGAGGAACAGCGCCCCGTCGTTGAGGGGCCAGTCGGAGGAACAGCGCCCCGTCGTTGAGGGGCCAGTCGGAGGAACAGCGCCCCGTCGTTGAGGGGGGCCAGTCGGAGGAACAGCGCCCCGTCGTTGAGGGGGCCAGCCGGAGGAACAGCGCCCCGTCGTTGAGGGGCCAGGGGAACAGCGCCCCGTCGTTGAGGGGCCAGTCGGAGGAACAGCGCCCCGTCGTTGAGGGGCCAGTCGGAGGAACAGCGCCCCGTCGTTGAGGGGCCAGTCGGAGGAACAGCGCCCCATCGCTGGTGTCAGTCGGAAGCGCCCCACGCTGGTGTCAGCGGAAGAATAGCCCCCCATCGCTGGTGTCAGTGGGAAGAATAGCGCCCCATTATTGGTGTCATATGAAGGAAAAGTGCCCTAAAGACTGGATAAAAACAAGCAAAGGGCCACATCCGGCCCACAGGCTACAGTTTGGAGCCCCTGTCTTAGAGTAATGCACGTAGGAAAATGTTCTCCCCTAGAAATGGGACTTTAAAGAGCAGCACTGATCAATGTGCCAAATATCAAAGACAAAAAGACACTCTCTAAAAATAACAATAGTTTATTGATACAAGAAGATTAAAAATCAATAGTAGTATTCAGTAAGGGGGATTACAGAAAATTGCATGTACAAATACTGTGTATGGTCAATCTGATAGTCATACACCGACGTGTTTCAAGATTACAACTTCTCTTCTTCAGGGATGTAATATGTGACTATAATTGTATTCTATAATGTAAAAATTATACACATTACCATCTTCATAACAAATTAGACAGATATGCCACACATGGATATTAAAAATATTGAAAAATACTGACTCATAATTGCAAAATTGTTTGATGTAACCACGTAAATATTTTAAAAATAATCAGTAAAGATGATACAGAAGTGCTAAAAGCAGATGTTGTCTGGTCACACAATTAATTAAGGGCTGTATGGTCTAAAAACGAAGAGAACTACATCTAATAGGGCAGCAATAATTAGAACGGATTACTAATGCATAGGATAATGGCTGGCAACATACCTTTGCCTAATGGGGTGTAACCATGTGGAGCGACAGGATGGTGTCCATATGCAGCACAGCAATGATGGTATAATGAGCCAGCCTTATATAGTCTAGATGGGAAACGAGAAATGACCAATCCAGCCAAGGGAGGATAGAAATGCAGCCTATAAGGGGCCCATATAATTGAGGACTGCATGAGAAACCAGTCCCAGGCTCATTGGCACACCCCCTGGCAGACGTGGTGCGACCCTGCCCCTTAGGGCAGAATGACGTCATGCCGCCACCAGTCCATGACAGGCAGTGCTCCCAGCCCAAAGGCAGAAAGATGCCCAGACTGCATAGAGAGGGCCAAGCCTCAGCCTGAACCAAGGCATAAACAATGGAACCCAAAAGAAAGGGCTGCTGTCATCATAGCGAAGGATGGCCCACATGCACCAGGAGGGCTATGGTGACCTCGGAGACCCAGATACCTGTTAGAAAAAGTAATATATATTGCACGATTTGTCAGTGCAATAGTACAAAGTGTCCTGTCGCTTGTAACCAAACGCCTGTGGCTTAAATACAGGAGCAGAATTGAACGTTTTTGTCCCCATAGACTTTAATGGAAAACTCCAGCAAAGCGTGGCATGAGCATTTTTTTCAAAGCGTTTTGTGGCACGTTTTCTGCTCAAAAAGCAGTTCTCCACCCCTTTTTCAGCAGTACACCACATGTTTTAGTTGAAAAACGCCTTAAAAAACACCCGACAAAAACTGCAAAAAATGAGCAGTTCTTTTCCAAAAAATGCTTGAAAACAATGGCTACATTCTCACTTAGCTGTACATTTTTAGACAGTGTTTTAGGTGTTTTTAGGCATTTATGAGCAGATTTCCAAATATTAGAGACATTTTTTCAGACGTTTTTCAAGTAAAAGGTGTGAAGTGCTGCTGAAAAAGGATCCGAGAGCTGCTGTTTGAGCAGAAAATCGCACGACAAAACGCTTAAAAAAAACGCTCATGTCGCATTTAAGAGGCTCCCATTTATACTAGGGTGATTTCAAAACCATCTGCCAAAGTGATAAATCGCAGAAAAGCATGTTCAGGCACCATTCTTTTTAATGGAAAACAACAGTGCAAAGTTTGTGAAATTCTTATATACTGTTAACAAGTGAATGCAATATACAGAATGTAAAAAAATCAACACCAGTGTCAGACTAATCCATTTACCGTTGTGCTCAAAAGTTTTCATACCCTGGCAGAAATTGTGAAATTTAGGCATTGATATTGAAAATATGACTGATCATGCCAAAAAATGCTCTTTTATTGAAGGATGATGATCATATGAAGCCATTTATTATCAAATGGTTGTCTGGCTCATTTTTAAAATCATAATGATAACAGAAATCACCCAATTGGCCCGGATCAAAAAAGTTTCCCTCCCCTGGAATGTTTGGCCTTGGTACAGACAGACAAGGTGACACACATGGGTTAAAATGCCAATTAGAGGTTAATGTCCCACATCTGTGGCTTTTTAAATTGCAATTAGTGTCAGTGTATAAATAGTCAATGAGTTTGTTAGCTCTTATGTGGAAGCACTGACTAGGCTAGATACTGAGCCATGGGATCAGACAAGAAAAGTCCTGCGTAACAAGGTAATGGAACATTATAAAGATGGAAAATGATACAAAAAGATGTCCAAAGCCTTGGAGATTTTTATTGTTTTTTTCACACAAATAGAGAATTATTTTGGTGGTATTTAACCACTAGCCTACAGGGCACTTAAACCCCCTTCCTGCCCAGGCCAATTTCCAGCTTTCAGCGCTGTCGCACTTTGAATGACAATTGTGCAGTCATGCAACACTGTACCCATATGAAATTTTTATCATTTTTTTTGTGACAGATAGACCTTTATTTTGGTGGTATTTAATCACCTCTGGGTTTTTTATTTTTTTTTAAACCCAAAACCACTGAAAATTAAAAAAAAAAATGTTTTTTCTTAGTTTTTGTTATAAAATTTTGTAAATAAGTGATTTTTCTCCTTCACTGATGTGCGCTAATGAGGCTGCACTGATGGGCACTGATGGGCTGCACTGATGGACACTGATAGGTGGCACTGATGAGGAGGCACTGGAAGGTGGCACTGATGAGCATTGACAGGCATCACTGATGGGCACTGAAACATGGCACTGTTAGGCGGGACTGACTGGCACTGTTAGGCGGGACTGACTGGCACTGTTAGGCGGGACTGACTGGCACTGTTAGGCGGGACTGACTGGCACTGTTAGGCGGGACTGACTGGCACTGTTAGGCGGGACTGACTGGCACTGTTAGGCGGCACTGACTGGCACTGTTAGGCGGCACTGATGGGCAGCAGTGACTGGCACTGATAGGCGGCACTGACTGGAACTGATAGGTGGCACTGATTGGCAACACTGATAGGTGGCACTGATTGGCACTGATGGGTGACACTGAAATGCAGCTCAGATGGGCACTGATATGTGGCATTGATGTGCACTGGTAGGCACTGATATGTGGGCACTGGCATGAGGCACTGACTGCTGGCACTGATG